GTGGGACCACAGGAGCAGCACCGAGCTGAATACAGGTGAGGAGATTGGACCCCGTCTTGTGTCTGCTCTTAAAAGAGTCAGTGTCTGTGTGCCAGGTATCCACAGATGTTCTTACTAGAGTGCCCAAGTTCCTTTTCGTTCTCTGCTTGCTGAGAGTTGTTGTCACGAAAGGTATTGAATTTTGTCACATGCTTTTTCTGAATCTACTGAGGTTTATTCATTACTGTTAATTTAGTAAGTTGTACTGAGTGATTTTTTTTATTTGTTTTTTTTTTTTTTTTGAGACAGAGTCTCGCTTTCTTGCCTAGGCTAGAGTGAGTGCCGTGGCGTCAGCCTAGCTCACAGCAACCTCAAACTCCTGGGCTCAAGCAATCCTCCTGCCTCAGCCTCCCGAGTAGCTGGGACTACAGGCACGCACCACCATGCCCGGCTAATTTTTTTCTATATATTTTTAGTTGGCCAATTAATTTCTTTCTATTTTTAGTAGAGATGGGGTCTCGCTCTTGCTCAGGCTGGTTTTGAACTCCTGACCTTGAGCAATCCGCCCACCTCAGCCTCCCAGAGAGCTAGGATTACAGGCGTGAGCCACCGCGCCCGGCTCGAGTGATTGTTTTTAATGTGGACTTGACTTTGCATTTCTGGGATAACCCCAAGTTATTCATGTGTGCCATCCTGGGCATGTGCCAATTTGCTAATATTCATGCATCGATGTCCATTAAGGATATTGGTCTTTAAATTTCTTTTCTTGTAATGCCTTTGGCAGGTTTTGGTGTCAGGGTTATGTTGTCTTACAAATTGGTAGGTAAGTATTTCCTGCCCTTCTGTTTGTAGAAAGAGTTCGTAAAAGCTTGTTCTTATTTTTTTCCTTAAATATCCATCTGTGAAGCCTGAGTACAGGATTTTCTTTGTGGGAAGGATTTGGTTATCAATTCCTTTTCGTGCCTGTAAGATCTGCAGTGACGTCCCCTCTTTCCATCTGGTTTATGAGAATTTGCATTTTCTCTAGCATTTTTCCTGATCAGTCTTGCTAGGAGTTTGTCAGTTTTATTGATCTTTTGAGAACCAACTTGGGCTTTGTTGATTTTTCTCTCTTGTTTGTCTGTTTACTAATGTGTTGGTTTCTCTCTTAGTTTCCTTCCTTCCACTAAGTTGGTATTTTGATTGCCTTTTTCTAGCTTGTGAAGGTGAAAGCTTCCATCATTGATCTTAAGTCTTTCTTCTTTTCTAACATATTCCTTGAAAGCTATATATTTCCCTCAAAGTACTGCTTTAGCTGTGTCCCACAGACTGTCATATGCATATTTTTGTTATCTTCTGGTTCAGAATATCTTCTTTTTTTTTTTGAGACAGAAGTCTCATTGTGCTGCCTGGGCTAGAGTGCCATGGTGTCAGCCTAGCTCACAGCAACCTCAAACTCCTGGACTTAAGCAATCCTTCTGCCTCAGCCTCCCAAGTAGCTGGGACTACAGGCATGCGCCACCATGCCCGGCTAATTTTTTCTATATATTTTTAGTTGTCCATAGTTGTGCCCAATTAATTTCTTTAATATTTTTAGTAGGACAGGCAGGGTCGTCCGCTCGTTGCTCAGGCGTTCGTTTTGTTTTTGTTTTGAGACAAAGAGTCCTGTCTCTTGTGTTGGGCGCCCAGGGCTAAGGAGTGAGTCGCGGCGATGGCGTCAGCGCCTGAACGCTCACAGCAACCTCAGAACTCCTGGGCGGCTGGAAGGCAAATCGCTGCTGCCTCAGCCCTCCCCCCAGTCAAGGCTGGTGACTCAACAGGGGCATCGCTGCGCGGGACAGCCATGCGCGCCCAGCTAATTTTTTATATATATATCCAGTTGGGGCCAAAATTAATTTTTTCTTTTAATAGTAGAGACGGGGCGGTCTTCGGCTCCTGCCAGGCCTTGAGGCTGGTTTTGAACTCCTGAGCCTTGCAGCAAATCCGTCCCGCTCGGGCCTCCTAAGTGCGTCGCGTAGGATTATAGGCCGTGAGCCAGCCGCGGCCCGGCCAGAATAGCTTTCGTAATTTTCCTTGTGACTTCCTTATCTTTGACTCAGGGGTTATTTAGAAGTATGTGCTGTCCTTGTGCCAAATAATTTGGGGCGAGCTTCTTGTTAGTCTTTTATTATTCGGTTCTGCTACTTTAATCCATTAATGGTGCAAGAAACATAAGCTCGATTTACCTGAAGCCCGTGCGGCCGTGGCCGCGGACAGCCCTGGCTGTGCTGTGTTTTACTAACACCGTGTGTTTAGGTTTGACAATCGCTGTGTGTTCCCGCCCACACCTCATTCTCTAGCCTGTCCGTGGGCAAGTAGGTTGGGTCCAGCCTTATTTATTACAAACGGTTCTACACTGAAAGCAAAGGCTGGGGCCCACATTCTGGTTTGCAGCCCCCTGGCT